GTTTAAGGGTTTAGGGCCCTACATCGACCTCACCCGGCCTCAGCCCAAATGAGATGCCTTACCTCGAGAATTTCATAAAACGGCTGATCTCGGGCTGTGGAGTTACCAGGCCGGGAGAAGCGGGTGTAATGTACATTCCCATGCAGAATGGCCAAGTGCCCGCGTTCAACTTGGGCTGCTCGACATGTGTTTTGTGTTCCCAAAATTACATCCTCCCATTGGTACCCCAACATATTTTAATCTGGCGCATAGGGATTGCAAAAAAAAGGACCTGTAATTTGTTGAATCCCAAGCCAAGGTTCCGTTGTCCCACATCACCAGGCACCCCCAGACTCCATGCCGGCTCAGGTTTTCCTTGGCAGAGGGTCAGTAAAGGATGGTGAACCTACCCTCTACAGAAATCGATAACCCTAAACCCTAAGAAGCCCTAAATCCTAAACCCTAAACCCTAAACTAAGGCATCTCATCTCCTTGAAAAACGACGAACAGCTTTGGCTTAAGTGTCAGCATCTAGGCCCCCAGCCCCTATGGCCCTGAAGCAGAAGAGTTCCCTGTGATCTCTTGTCCTTATTGATGCGCGGTTTAGGGTTTAGGGTTTAGGGTCCTAAATAATTGCCACATTCCGGTCCTAATTAGAATCCTTGTATAACTATGGTATAGGGCACCTCATATAGATCTCAAATGACAATGGTATTCTTTAGAACCCTGCAGAACTTCAACTGCCTCGAAGTTTTGAAAGTGCCAGGACTACAAAAGACCGAGATCAGAGGGTCCGCAAGGGTTGGGGTTTACCTTGCCGTTGCATGGTCCGGGGTTGGGTGTGTGGGCTTCTTTTGGGAAAGCACTGGCCAAAAATCTGCTTCTTGGCGATTGTTTTCTTTCAGACGTTTGTCATTGGTCGTGTGGCTCCACTAAACTGGGTCATTGTTGGAAATCATTCTCAGCTTTTATTTACGAAAGCCCAATAACTCGTTCCTACGCACACAGTGGCAATTTCAAGAAGCATCCCAACACCGAATGTAAACTTGCAATTTCCTGGGTAGACCCCTGGGATATTTAATATTTTCCCTAATGGCTTTAATAGGGGACCCTAAATACTAATATTTTTCAAAGGGTTTTAGGGGCCAACCCAGTTTCTAATAGTGGCCCACCAAGGAACATCAACTCATTGTAATCAACGTAAACTTGAACAAAGGCATGCACACTTATGCGTTCTTTTCATAGTATCTCAGAGAGGAGTCTAAACTTGGTGATTTTGTGGGCAGTGTGCCAGGAAGGAGCCAGGCAAGACAATATCTTCGCAGCGGTAGCCATAATGCTGGAAGATTAGGCTGCCATAATGGGTTCCCTGTAAAGGAGTTATAGGGTATGTAGGAGTTACCCAGTGTTGAGGGCTCAGTCGCCGCCGTTCTATGGATGGATACTTTACTGTGGTAAACAATATGGTTCTCCTATTATGGTATGTTAGTTCGAGTATATCATTGTTGAAATGTTAATGGTCTCCCTATCATGGTAGCTTAGTTCCATTTCCTAAGCCCTAAGACCGACACTTTGAGATTCTAAATCCTAAATCCTAAAGTCAGGGTTTAGGGTACACAATTTGATCATCAAGACGTTTTGGCTTGCCCAGAGCCACCGTGTGTTTAGTATGATGAATATTCGCTTGGGCTTGGGGGTCGGTTTAAAGTGATATGGGGCTTGGGATTCAGAGGCTTTGGGATCTTGACCCCGGGCTTGAGCTTAGATCTGTTCAGAAAGACCTCATCAGTTTTCAGATTCATAAGATTTCAGAGGGGAGGGGCTGGACCTCTCACCCTGACGAAAGAAGCGTCCGCTTCTCGTGCAATAGCTGCCTGGGAAAAGGTGGTTCCTGCTCAATACCTTACCTCATATCCGCCCTTGCTCAAGCTCAATAACCCTAGCCCCTTGAATGGGTTGTATTCCCCCTTAAGTATATAGAATATGCGGTATATGGAGATCTTATTATAGTATACCCAAAACCATAGTCTATCTACTTAAGGGGGACTATAACTCTAAACCCTAAATAGTAGTTTCCATTTTCTTTTTCCATTATCCCAATATAACCCCTATATACCCCCAATATAACCCCCTATCTACTTAAGGGGGACTATAACTCCAGAAAACGACCATGACTTTGGCTTTCAAGTAGAGTCTCAACAGACCCCCTGGGCCTCCCCCCACCACAGCTTTAGAGCCAAATGCCATCCTATGAGCCATAATCTAAACTCCTTAAAGGGGGGTTGATCTAAGGGATTATATAGGGGACTACCATAGGGTTTAGGGTTTAGGGTTTAGGGCTTATGAAGGGGGATACTCGGAATTTAGACTGTGGCGCATAGTCATTGTGAAAAGAAAGCGCGTGTCAACTCCAACCCAGACGACACAGCCGCAAGCGATAAGATACCGCGCTGCCTGAGGTGTGAGCTTCCATTCATTTTCCATTATACGATTCTAACCCCAATATAACCCTAATAGAATACCTATGTAACCCCATTGTAGTAGTTTCCATTTTCCATTATCCCAATATAACTCCAGTATAACCCTAATGTAGTCCTTATAATATAACCCCGTTGTAGTAGTTTCCATTTTCTTTTCCATCATCCCAATAGTATCCCAGCTGCAGACCCCCAGCCCAAAGCCGTAATGTATAAACCTTACTGAGTAGGACAATCGTCTGCTCATATGGCATGATCCCCTTATCACCCGTCGGGTATGTGGCAATAGTCCAAAGCCCTACTCTGCTTGCATAGGGCTATTTACACCCTTTAAAGGGTATAAGGGTATATCGGGGATATAATGGGACACTGGAGAAGAAAATGGAAACTGCTATTTAGGGTTCTAAACAGGGGTCCCCGCCGCGGTCCAAAGCCTTATTCCGCTTGTATAGCGCTATTCATGCTTCACCTTGCCCCAAAGAGGCCCAGACAGCCGCCGAGCTGAAGAAAGCAGCGAAGTCCATGCAAGCGAAGGCCGGGAAGTCCGTCCTGCCAAGCGTTCTCCTTAAAGGGTTGCATAGGAGTGCATTATATGGGGCTATAGGGTTCAGGGTTTAGGTAAGGGTCTAGGGCTTAGGGTTCAGGGTCTAAACTCCTTAAAGCGGGGGGTTATATAGGGGATTACATAGGGGACTACTATAGTGGTGATTAAGGCGGACACTAGGTTTAGTTTTTCGGGCTTAGGGTTTAAGGTGGATGGACATCATGAGAGTGCAGGACCCACAATACTATGATTCCTAGGACGCAGGATATGCAAGGTAGTGCAAGATTTCCTCAATCAACACTAGTCTCTTCTCAAAACGTGACCTATTTGCTGGTGCTTAAGGGGGAGGGGAAGTGAGTAAAAGGATATTCTGGGAGACCCTAAGACCTCAAGCATTAATCCGAATCCCTAATCGAGACTCCCTGATCCCAAGCTGCCAAAAAACTGGCTGGTGACTAGTCGGGAAGGAAGGATTGAAAAAGAAGCTGGAAGCTCGAGGGATCCTGGGGGAAGGGGGGGGTTTTGGGTTTAAGGTTTAGGGAATCTAGTATATAGGGATTATATCATATTGCCTTCCCTACTTACCCTGCCTACATGCAATCCGGCAAACCCTAGACCCCATGATAGTCTTTATGTCTTTTCCCTCCCTCCCTTCCTCCATTTCCCTATAACCTTAGGCATTAGACCTAGACACGAAGCCAAAAACCCCACCAACCGGTAAGAAACAGCCCCAAACCTCAAGGCCCCTGCGAAGAGTGGCCTTCCGGTCAGCGCCAAGGCATTAGGGTTTAGGGTTTAGGGTACCCTAAACCCTAAACCTGAAACTGTTTGGGGTCTAGGGTTCAGGGACCTTGGGGGTTTTCGGGGCTTGGGATATAATGCAGGTTTAGGATTTTGCGACCCTAGACCCCCAAATTGTAGGTTTTGGGGTCGAACAGTTCGGGTTTAGGATTTGTGGATAATTGCAGGGGTGCTCACAATGGCTCTCAAGTCTTGCTGACAATGACTATCGCTAGAACCATTACATGAGCTATAGTCTAAACTCCTTAAAGGGGGTTATATAGGGGATTATATAGGGAACTACTATAGGGGTTATTAAGGGGGATACTAGGAGTTTAGACAGTAGCTCACATGCAAACCCAGATTGTATTCGTGGTCAGGGTTCCAGGGCAGGTATGGCTGAAAGATCCAGTGGGTTGGGAGAGTGATCAAAAGACGAGATACTTGCATGAATGGTCTGTAAACCCTAAACCTCGAGCCCTAAACCCTTCGCCTCTAAATCCTAAAACCAAAACCCTAAGCCTCTAAACCCTAAAACCCAAAACTCTGAGCCCCTAAACCCGGCCCTGAAACCCAAAACCCTAAGCCCCTAAACCCCAAACCCAAGGCAACGGTACATCTGCAACTTTTCGGGGACATGCCAGATTGAGATGGGGATTTCGGAGCCGACTTTTGATTGCCAGCATCTTTGTAGCACCAGCCATTGTTCCTTCAGCTATGGCACACAGTACACAGTGAGCATTGGCAGGATAGCTTAGAGGACCCCCCCCAGCCCTGTACTAGTGGTATGATAGAAATGTATCCTAGGACCCTAATATAACCATTATTATCCCTTACAGTCACTATTTCGGTTACAGTCACTATTTCTTGGTTGGGGGTCCACCTAAAGGATAAAGCTGCAAGCCGAAGGCTTTCTGAGCCAGCACATGTGAGCTGTAGTCTAAATACTTAAAGGGGAATCTTATACGGGTTAGTAAGGGGGGATACTTAGGAGCTCAGACTACAGCTGACATGTGGGGTTTTCCGAACTCCCTCACCATAGAAGCACACATTGAGGACTTCTCAAAGTCTGAATGGCAGTGGTTTCAAGCAATTTTCACGACATATGTGAGCGGTAGTAGCCTAGGTATAGGACTTAATATGTTTTGAGATATTTGTAAGTTCAGGTTCGATCCACCTAGGTAGTATCTGACATAATTGCAGTCGCTCGACCCTGGAAGGCGAAGCCCAGGTCGGACATCTCCATGTCCTCCGTTGCCTCGTCCAGTGTGCTGCCGCCGCTGGGAGCCAGTTTAGTACTTCTGCTTCTAGTAATGGCTGACAGCCTGCTCTCACGATTCCATTTTGCTTACCTTCTCATATTGGTAACGTAGGCACTAGTTTGAAACAGTCAACCGGATAGATTTGAACATGAATGTTATCATTGTTTTGGTATGGGTGCTCTGCTACTTGATGCACTTCAAGATGAATGTTATCATGGTTTTGGGCTTCGATGCTTTGGTAGCTGTATGCGCTCGAACAGATGAAGTCTTGGGGAAAATCGGACAAGATGCGCTGGAGCCTCACGAGCACGAGCGCGCTCCTGCATGGACAGGTGGTGCTTCAATATGGGGCCGTATGAGCAGGCTGTGGCCGAGTACTATTAGTAATAATAACAGCAATATTAAGCTACACACGGATTCGCAGACCAGACTTTAAGTAAGGACCCAAGTTTTCTATTTGGGGATACGTCTTACTAGCTGCGTCGTGTCGGGTTTGAGTTTAGGATGGACGTTGCTTCTTGCAGACGCAGCCTGCCTTCTGTAAGTATGGCCACAGCACGGCCCGAAGCTGGAATGCGTCCTTCTTGAGCTTTTCGGCTTTACCGCTTTTACTTCGGTTGCCGGAATTGGGAACCACGTGCTGAATACCAGGCCCACGAGGGCTTTCACAGCTGCATGGGCTCAAAGGTTCAGGGTCTACCAGTGGCACATATCCAGTGTCCATGGTCTTCATCCAAGTCGGTAGGCCAAGACTCCTAACTCAGGATAGCAAGAGGCTGTAGAAAAGCTTGCTTAGACAGAGCATTACCAAGAAGGACAAAGGGGAGCAACAAAGCCTAAACCCCTAGGGCCTGGCAAGCGAGGCATTCTAGCCGAAGCTGACCGGGAGTCTGAGATGGATTCCTTTCAACAGGGCAGCTAGGAAGTTTGAGGCCTTTTAGGCGCAGGGCACGATACTTACTTGATTGAGGATCACTGTAAGTTTTTAACCCTGAGCCCCCAAAACCCTGAACAATGAGCCCTGAACCCTCAACCCCCAAATAATGGAGTAAAACCCATATCATTGTAGTAGTTTCCATTTTCTTTTCCATTATCCCTAGATAACCCTTTCCTTTTCTCTTCCGCGCCTGAGCCCTAAAGATTGACGCCAGAGGTTCGGCAAGGGCCCCGCCAAGTCGCCGCTGCTTCCGCCAAAGAAGGAGGAGGCCGCAGAGCCCGAAAAAGGATTTTTTTCAGAATGGTATGTGGGGGTTTCCTACAATTCGGGTCCTTTTTGAGGGGGCACCATAATAAGGAATAAAGTATATTGGGGTCTATATTGGGGTCTGTCTATTTTGGGAGACTGCCATATATGGACTTATGGTGGGACTATATTCCCCGGAGCTAATATGGACCCGGCAGCCTGCCAAACTTTTTGAAACACGATCCCCTTTTCCGGTGTTGCTTCTGCATTTTTCGTAACTGCAAGACAATATACAACACAGATCATGATGGTTCATAAACAAAACTTACGTTTTTTTGCCTTCCTCCAGAATCTTCTGAACCTTTACCCTTCAAACCCTTAGACTCAAAACCTAAAACCCTAAAACCTTACACTTGTATACCTGGCACATGGAGATCCAGCTGTGCCCTGCAGAGGGACAGCTTCTGGAAGGAGGTAGGAGGTGGCTAATTCCATTGTAGACCGGGTACTCGGGTCCCGTTCGGCAAGGTCAGAACATTTCCCGTTTCCGTGAAATATTGTTTTTCGAAAATGTCTGGTTTGAGCTGGTTCGGGCAGGCAGGTCGGGGGACGGGGTTGAGTGGAGGGGAAGGAAAGGGAAAGGAGGAGGAGTGCGCAGGCATCAGAAAGGAAGGAAACGGCGATGCTAATTAAGAATGAGCAAACAACATTTCAGGCCTTTGTTTTTTCACTAATTACGCATTTAAACGACTAGCTTTTGGGAGCTGGTTCGGGCACAGGTGGGGGGACGGGGTTGGGTGGAGGGGAAGAAAAGGGAAAGGAGAAGCGAGCAAGCTGTTCTAGGGATGGGGGGATATATAGGGGATTATATAGCGTTTAGGGTTTAGGGATGTTTAGGATCTAAACTCCGTAAAGGGGCTTTATAACGGATTATTATTACTACTACTACTACTACTACTACTACTACTGGGGATATTGTTCGGGACACTAGCTCACATAGCTTGACTCCTAATGGGATACTCTTGGAGGATCCTGCTTGACGGCTGCTGGGGCTGTTTGACTGGGTTGCTTTTAGGGAACTTAGATTACGGTAATATGGGGGTTATGTAGGGATAATGGAAAATTAAATGGAAGCTACTATTTGGGGTTTAGGGTTTAGGGTTGCTTTTCGGCAACTTGAATTAAGTTACCATCATGGGTATGCATATATATATATGTATGGGAACTAATAGGGTTTCCCAATATAGCAATTTAGATGAAGTTCCTTAACAGCAAGCCAGTTGAGGGTCTTCAAACGTGTGGGGTGCCAGACGTTTCCGTGGGATTTCAGGTTCTGTAGTGTGGGCTCAAGGGCTTGGGGCTCAAGATTTCGCGGGATTGAAATCAGAATCAGCTAATGGGCCTCTAGTAGGGTTTAGGGTTTAGGTCTCCACGAGAAGCGCACCATTATTGTAGTTCGTCATGCGTGGGAAGGCAAAGTAGCCATTGGGATTCAGGTTTGCCCCCGTTGCGTTACAAGGCTCCTTGCGCCAGAAAAGAGGCTCAGGCGTGAGGGCAAGTACTTGCATAGCGTAGAATTGAGTCTGACAGGACCGCTCAGTCTCGCATCCTGAAGTGGTTGTTTGCCAAAATAGGGGGACCGCAATATAGACCCCAAGATGCTATAATCCTGATTATAGGAGTCCCCAAAAAAGGCACCCCTAGTTTTGGGGAACCCCAAATTCTCGCGTCTGCAAGCATATTGCTTGCGACTGCAAATCCGCCCGTGAACCAGGACATTACACCCCTGCATGTGAGCCATAGGCTAAACTCCTGAAATGGTTATATAGGGGTATAGGGGTTCATATAGAGGAGTATTATAGAGGTTATTCAGGTGGATCTAGAAGTTTTAGACTGAATCCCATTTGGAGAACAGAGGAGTCGTTGACAGGACACGAATGGTTATCCATTGGTGCTGCATTATGAACTGTGTCCCCCGATTCACTGGCACTTTATACAGTAGTTCCTTGTTCCAGCCCTGTCGTGGTCCTCCGAAGGAGCCCGCTAAGATCTCAGGAACAAAAGAAAACACCAAGTGAGCTGTAGTCTAAACTCCTTATGGGAGGTCATGGTTATACAAGATTATATTGGGGACTATTATCGGGGTTACCAAGGGGGATACTATAGGAGTCTAGATTATAGCTCAAGTGGCTAAGGTCGTTTACACCACCAAGCCCAACATGGCCGGCGACTTCCGCACGCTGCCTCCGGCAGCCTTTGCAAAGCTGTCATCAGCTTTTGAACCCAAGGCCCGGCCAGAGACGAAGGCAGAGACCTCTCCAGCACCGAAGGCTGCACTGCCAAGCCCTGAAGAGACCACCCCTTTTCTGCGGGTGGTGCCCAGCCTTTCCCCAGCACTCTGGTCTCCCCTGCATCGCCGCTGGACATGCCAGCCCGCCACTGTCATCCGCAAGCCCCAGCCCGCCCCGGAAATCCTCGAAGTGCCGGAGGCCGAGGCCACGCAGCTTGTGGAGCCAGACAATGACAAGCCAAAGCCTATCCAAGCAGCCCAGGCTGTGCTGCGACTCTGCAGCACTGCCCCAGCACTTTGGTCACCCTTGCACCGCAAATGGTGTGGTGATGTGCTGAAGATGCAGATCGCCCAGGTACCTACGCTGCTGGTGAAGAAGGCGGCCTCAAAGGCGCTCCTCTTGCAAGAGGGCTGCCCCGATCGAGTGGCGGCGGCGTCCATCAAGGACGTGGCCATGCCCGAAGCAGTTGAGGCCACAAAGGACGTGGAGAAGGCCGAGGCCGCCATTGTGCCAGTCACCCTCGAGGCTCCCAAAACCCCCATGCCACCCAGACCCTTGATCAGTTGCTCGGCTGCGCCCGCGATCTACTCGAAGTGGCACAACCGATGGACGGGCTTCCTGCCCCAGCCAGCCACTGGGTCAAAGTTCAACAACACCTTTCATGCTTATCGCCGAATAAGGACTATGACTGCTGTTGTCGTTGTTACCAGTTGTCACTGCTAATACTAATTCCTATTATTCCCTTCATTTTTTGTACAGAACCAAAAAGGATCTGAAGCATTATTTTTTTGGTATCCCGCAGTATCCCCATGCTGAACCAGGCCAAGCTTGGCGCCTAGCCTGCTCCGTGGCAGTTTTAACCGTCGACCAGTCAGTTCCTCGGATGCATCTATTAGGAGGGTCAGGGGGACTTCATAAGTAGGTTAGTCCTGGTGATAAGTAGGATTATTACATGGTCATAGGTCTACTTACTAAGTCCGCCTGACCCTCCAAGTATTAGGAAGACCAGAAGAACTCTGTGGTTTTTGCAGGGTGTTTAGAGCGTTAAGAGTGTTTAGAGGGGCGTTAGGGGTGTTTAGGTTTTTTTAGGGGGCTTGGGGCTTTTAGGGTGTTTGGGGTTTTGGGTGTGTTCAGGGTTCGGGGATGGTGCCTTGTCGGTTCCTGTAGAGGGGGTTTCAGGGATATCTTGGGTGCACCCCCCACCCAGTAATAGTGTGGTATGAAAAGAATGTAAGAGGACTGTAACATAGTCACCGTTATCCCCCGATAGTCACTATTATTGATCTAGAGTACAGGTTTTAGGGTTTAGGGATCCTTGGCACAAGGGGCCTGGATATAGGGGCTTCCCATAACTAGGGTACCATCTGGGGATCCCCATAATAAAGATTCTAGCATTTTGGGGTTTATATTGGGGTTCGACTATTTTGGGAAACTATCATATCCCTACCTTTTGGGAGTCTGTCTCCGAGGGGATCTAAAGGGGAGATCTATCTGTCTGTTTGCTTATAGTCTCCCTTGCTTGAGTAGATAGAATACGGGGATATATGGGGATCTTACTATAATATACCCAAAGCCCTATTCTATGTACTTAACGGGGACTATATGTTCTTTCTTGTAAACCTCTACGTAAGCTAGTGTTGGCAGGCATTTGCCGCTTGGAGGGTTTCGAGGTTGTATAGCTTTATATCCCTCATTGAGTTCTACAGAAATGACAGTAACACTAGTATGAAAAAGAATGATGACACTCTTTCTGCACCCTAAACCCTAAACCGGATCAAAAACCAACATTTAACTTGGACCTTCTCAGGTTGCTGAGGTTCGACATCATGACAGCCCTGGGCTTAAGCTGCATGTTCCTTACTGGTGCTAAAAAGGGGGGGATGGGGGAGTGGATGCCGAATAAGATAAACCGCTGTATAGCCCCATATGGCCCCCCATCGTAGTCATAGTCCTTGTGTTCATTTCCTCACTCCCTCTTAAGCACCGGGAAGGGTCTGCATGTTGTTTCAGGATGCACAAATGCCGAGCTCTGTGTTTCGCATGCGGCAGCTGCCGAGTGTTTCTAGAGGAAATACCCGAGACTGATTATGCCACCTTGCATTGTCTTGACAGGAAGTACACTACGAAGCCAGGTGCAATCTCTGGTGGCACGGGTTTCAGGCACCATGTTCGAGCACCCACACACATCTAACGTTTGAACGGTATGGGTCCCTACATGTGGGTTGCAATCTGTGTCCTTGCCTTAGCACTACCCTTATGCCGCCTGAGGTCGCTGATGCCCTAGAAAATCGAAGGTCTGAGGACTCTTGGAGGGACCCCTAATAGGGACCCTTGTAGCTTATAGGGATTGAGATGGGTCATCTATGGTAATGGGATTAAGGGTCCCTTTTAGGGGTCCCTCCTAAAGTCCCTAGAGAGGGGCCCTGTATAGACTGGGATTGCAGAGCTCCTTCCCGGCCCCAACACCAACCCCGACAGACCTGCCAGGGTTTTTGAAGTGAGCTAATTTGGTTTGTTCGCTTTCGGGTTTAGGTCTAGGGTCTAGGTTGAGGGGTTAAAACTAAAGTTTAAGGTGTAGTTTAAGGGTGAAGGATTTTGGTTTTATTTGAGGTTCTGGGTTTGAGGTCTTGGGTTAAAACTAAAAAGCCGCAGTCTAAGCCTGGAGGATTAGGATTCACGATTCCACTTAGGATTTTCGATTCCGCTTTTCAATCACCGGTCTAATCTCTGCTTATCCAATCTGAATGTAACGTATGAGTTTTGATCTTCTTTCCTTCAAAGGGGCTATGTATAAGGGATTATGTAAAGGAGTCGTATAGGGGATTATTAAGGGTGATACTAGTAGTTTAAACTATGGCTCATGTGAGCTATAATCTAAACTACTTAAAGGGGGTTATATAGGGGATTATATAGGGGACTACATAGGGGTTATTAAGGGGGATACTAGGAGTTTAGACTATAGCTCATATAAATGATTGCTGTAATTGGGTTAGACTTGCCCTGAGTCTCGAGGCCGTCCTTGAAGACAGTGTCGTGCTTCCGCGGCAGGTTGGGAGGGTGGTTTGGGTTTAGGGTGATTGGGGTTATGAATTAAGGTATTTAGCGTTCAGCGTTTGGGATTTAAGTTAAAGGTTTGTGGGGAATCGTTGAGCGGGATCAATGTAGAAGCTGAAAGATTTGAGGGCTTCCCAGACTTAGGGCTTAATATTTGAGCCCCTATGCTGAGGATTACTAATGTATCATAATTTGGGGATCTACATTGGGGTCCCCTATTTCTAGAACCTACCATTCGCTAATCACCAACAATTCTGATGCAATGAAAGGCTACTGCAACTCAGAGGTCTGTTCTAATTAGCCAAGACCCTACATCAGGCTTCGTTTGCTTGTTGCTGATTCACAGGGCATGAAGACATGCAATGAACGGGTTCTAAACCCTAAACCCTAAA